ATGTTTACATAAACATCATTTAATTCGATATAACCACAAATAAAATTCAGTATCAAAAACCTTAGATTTATATCAGAAACACTTGCCAATGAAAGAATAGAGAATAGAGATTCCATAGCGTGTATAATCTGTTTATTAAAAGCCCAGAATTTTTTGTACTTTGTTATACTGTGCTTTTTCTTTGTCTCCAGACAGCTCCTTGTTATATTTCACTTATCTTATTTATCAATGTGATACATTGGTATAATATCAAGTTTATAATTGTAAGTTATGTGATTATGTGCTTAAATTAAAGCATTCTTATAATTTAAAAACATTTAAGTTAATTTAACAGTTTAGTGTTGTGCAGTAAATTGTATGATAGGCCTATTTAATTATTTGTACAATTTAATTTGAATTTTCCAAACTACATAGTAATCATTGGCAAGTAGTTTGTAAATTATTATTTTGTGTATTATGATGCAATAATTTTCAAGGAAATTTTGGGTCCTGAAAATATTCTGAACTCCTGATATTTACTTTAAATTCACATAGTTCTGGATCTTGTTTTAAAAATATTTACTGTTAAATAAGAAGCTTTTATAAAAAAAAATTAAATTTTTAATTTCCATTTCAATAAAACTGAGCTAAAAAAATTAATGTTTCATTATAAATAATTATACACTGGGTGATAGGTTAATAAACATAATCCGTTCCAAGACCGTGTTTGTTACCTAAATTGTTTGTTAACTGATTATTGATTTACCATAGATTTTTATGGGAATTTGATTAATTCATTCTGGAGATCCGAAAAAAATAAAAAAAATTATATACTTTCTTATTGCGTTTATTTATATTGTGAGAAGCCAGGGACGTAGAACTAAGTCTACGCCGCTTACGGGCACACAATCTCAAGATTGGCTCACTAAGCTTTTTCTAGGAGGGCTGTTAATGTTTAAATGATCTAGAGGATTAATTCTAGATCTAGTCAGGATTCCTTTACACCAATTAATCAGTTATTTTAAATGCGGATTAACACGCGTTATCCTTAAACTCGGGATTCAGAGGAACTTGAATGAAAATGAATGTCTAATAAGAACCGAGCCATTTTATAAAACAAATCAAAATATTTAATAAATCAAATAATAAAAATATACAATGATGAATCTAACACATATCTAAACCTAACTTAAACTATCTTATTTCTAACCTAACGTGTGAGAGAGTTTATATTGATCTATCAGAGACTATATTAACTTCACCGTATTTCTTGTATCTGTTTCTGTATAAGGATCTTCTTCCTTCTTTAAATATTTTTCTTCTTCTATTTGCTATGGGAAGTTCTTTTATCTTTCTCCTTTGACAATCTTGTCGTATACTTATACTTCAATTAATCAGTCTAGCAGGGCCTTGTCGATCTCATATGATCATCACTTGTATCGTATTCTCTTTGTATGGCAATGCCTCTTCCTATCGGACTGTCTCTTAACGTATATTTCAGATTCTTACATATGGCAAACCTTGTTTCGATGGACTTGTGTGGCAATACCTCGTTTCGACAGACTGCTTATATCGTGTGGTGGATTTCTTGCGTGGCAACCTTTTTCTAACGGACTGCCCCAAATGGCAGGAAAATGTCCTTTTTATCTGGTCTTCAGTAATGTGTGCAAAAACTCGACTCATCCTGAGTTGGCCTGGCAAAGGAAATCAACTTCCTTTCAAAAATCTGATGTTTCCTCCGTTTTTAAATAAAATCTTGTTGAAGTTTAAAATATTATTTTCCATTGTTTTAAATCTTTTCTCCAACTTATTATTTTGATTAAAATGATCCTCCCCTGAACGTTCAGATCTCACAATATGTAGTAATAAAAATACATATATACACAGTCTTGCATTTTTTTTTGTGGGGATTAAAGAACCTGTTCAATGTCAATTGCTTTTCTCTCTTCTTTAGGACTTTTAGAAGTACAGTGGTGCCTCGTATAACGTACTTAATCTGTTCCAGATACACGTCCGTTAAGTGAAACGTCCGTTATACGAAACGCATTTTCCCATAGAAATACATGTTAAAACATATAATTCGTTCCACAGCATAAAATAACCGTATTGTACCATAACAAAAAAAATGAAAATGGAGCAGTCACCAATTATGGCGGGTAGTCAGATGTTGTGAGGAGGAGGTGGAGGAACACTTTCTTCCCACATTCATACTGATACAGACTTTTTACACATTGCAGCGGGTCTTTTTTTTTATTGTTTTTTAATCAGATTCAGATTCAGGAGATGCTACCGGAGCTTGCAGGATCAACTCCTCTTGTTCCATCCTTTGTTTTTTCCCTGCTGGCTTCTTGAAAAACATGTCCAAGATGGTCTGTTTCTCGCTCTTCTTTAACACCTGTCGGAAATAACAAGCAAGGGTGTCATTGTAGAGATCATTGATACTGTTGGCCTCAGCTTTGTCTGGATAATGAGTGTTGGTAAACTCTTGAACCTCTCCCCATTCGACAAGGAAGTTTTTGTCAACTTTCACTCCTTCTGATGATTTCTTGCATTGTTTAAATTGAAATTGCCTTTCTGTTTTTTTAGAAGCCATGATTTGCACAACACTTGAATAAATGTAAATACCCTGCACTGAGGTGATGTACGTAATAAACAAGGGAGCAAGCCTAATCCCAACGGTAGCTCTGTACTTCAGATATACTGATAATATATTCTAATAATATTAATATATTATAAAAATAGCAGATTGTCATTGGCAACGGCAAAAGAGTGGAAACATCATTCGCACTTGTTCGTAAAAAGTCCATTGGTCGCCTCACGTAACTGCTGAACGGAAAGTCCGTTGTCCGCAGCCAGTCCGTTGCTCGAGTCACGTAACGGCCAAACAGAAAGTTCGTTATTCGCAGCGTCCGTTATTCGAGGCGTACGTTATATGAGGCACAACTGTAATTAATAGCATTGTCATTGTAGCGATTCCCAAATCTAATTAATTAATTTAACCTCAATCTGGTTTGATGACTGTTGTTCTGACATTCTCCAACTTCAAAACATCTTTAATAGCAGATGTTGGCATTGATCCTCTTTCATTCTCCCCTTTTTCAGAAGAAAACACATCTTGCTGAGTTTCTTGTGTTCTTCTGTCATCAAATCAATTTCCATTACGAGCTCTTCAATGTTCTTTATTTGTCAGATGTGATTTTCATTATTCCTTTAGCTGCTTCACTCTTCTTGATTATATCTTTCTTAGCTAAGATTGTGCTTACTGTAGACCTGTTCAAGCCACACTGCCTAGCAACATCAAACTGCCCACTCTACCTGGCTATTATCTCTTGTTTGGTTTCTGTGGTGAGCACAGTTTTTAAAACTTCACTCTTTTTAGGCTCCATAATATTATCAGTTTCTTTTTTAAAGAAAAAGTTCAGAAAAGCAATTACAAAAATTCAGAAAACAGAAATCAACTAGCACACAAAAACATTGTGTAAATGTGAGACCCAGATGAAATTCAAAAGTTGGTGTTAAAACGTTAACAAACATCCGATAGGACAGTTAAATTCTTGCCTTTAAAAAATAAAAACTAATTCAAAACTTAATGTCCAAAGACTATAAAAAAAATTCCTTGTCAGAAAGGTAAACAAAAAACTGGAATTACAAGGAAGAGTGTCAAAGTTCAGAGGAATACTATCCAATCGGTATTGGATTGAGCATTGATGTAAAGACCAATCAGTATTCAATATTTTGTCACTGCTTCTTGTGTTTGTTCTGTGAGGTGATCATTATCCAAACATGTTTGTTGTCCAAACATAAAAATCTTTCACAAAAGTGTTCCTTGTCCAATTTGTTCGCAGTCCAAACTGTTCATTAACTGATCACCCACTGTATGTATTTGTATATCTAAGACCATCAAATTCTATATCCAGATTCTATAAATTACTGAATCACAAAAATTCAGAATTGAAATCATCTCATACATTCAAAATCTTATTTAAAATTACATTTTGATTAGAATTAATTCACAAATAATAACAAACAGTTATTCCTAATAAAGTTAATTGATCAAGATATATTTTCTATCGTAAAATATATCTTGGTTAATTAACTTTAGGCCACTCTGTATTCACTATTATTTAATATTGTTACAAAAAAAAAATGCATATGAGAAAATTTATTTATTTAGCATTCTTATAAACTATGATGATATGTGTAAGTATAGTATTTGTAAATTAAACAGGATTGGAAAAGAGATTTTATAATTAAAATTGTTATATAATTGTCATGAATTTTTATTTACTAATTAGCAAATTTAACAACTTAACAAGCAATATAAAAATCAGATATAGTTAATGTGAATATTTTCAATGGCAAAAACAAGAATTTTTTTTAAAATTAATGCTTTTTTCATGAATTGAGTGTTTAATTTTCAAAGTTGGGTAAGTCAGTTTTATGTTATTGGTAGATATTTAATGCTTTGCGTTTGAATGAGTTTAAAAATATTATTAAGCAGTTGTAGACTTATTTTATATTTTTTTGGTCTTATTTCATGTAGATTTAATATGCAATAATGGTTATCTGCATTAGGTGAAAAAAATCATGGTTTTGATATGCACCAATGGATTTGCCTCACTTCAAAATCAACTCACGATATATATCATTGATGGTTTAAATTACTAGTAAAAAATTTATACTGATATTAAAATATATTTATTGTGAATTGATTAAAAACATAAATTTTATGTTAATTTATAATAAAAATTAGCTTTAAGTATTTTTTTCACAAAATGGACTTGCTCCACTTTCAAAATCAACAGCTCAATTAGAAATAGTTCTGATTTTTTAAATGAAGAAGGCATTCAGGCATAACTCATTATAGATTGAAATAATATAAACTTTAAACTAATAAAATAAAGAAAAATTTTTGTTAAAGATATGTTTTGAATTAACAAAAATTGACTTTAAAAAAGAGAAACAATTGACTACAAATTTATATATACAAATTAGTATAATTATTTTTTTATTATTTACAGAGAGAGTCAAGAAAACATGACATTAAACAAAATGAAAGTTTCTAGTGACAGAGGAGTACCGATGGATGTAACTTGACAATGGTTGAAATCTGAACAAGGTACTAGATATGCTAGCCTGCAGTGTTCTGCATGAAAAGATGGGAAGTCATTCTGCAGCTTGGTCCTGTAACTGATGGTGGAGAGAGAAGAAAGGAAATTGCACTTCTCAAGTCAGTCTCTGTAGAGGTGATTGCCACATCCCATTGACCCAAGAAGAAAGGAAAAGTGATGCTTCATAATGTGCTGTATTCAGTCCCAACCTTTGTCATAACTGCTGTATGTAGATTTAGAAGTCTTTGTGAATTAATGTTCAAATTCCACATTACGTGTACTACAAAATTTTCAAAACTGAGAACAAGTTTGAGTAAAATCGATGGAGAAAACCCTAGGTTTTCTACTTCATTATAGAAATATTGACTGATAGTTTACTTACTGTACACCATACTGTTTTCAACATCCCACTTCTGTATTATGTACTTTTTAAATAATAATAATTGAAGATTAAATTATTTTTTATTTTACTATAGATGAATTCCAACAGCTCAACTTCAATCCAAAATAAACAAATTTGTGAAACAACAAGTCTTCCTTCCATGTAAATGCTGCACAATATTAAATACAATACTGTATTTCATTATATATTTTTAAGCTATGTCTGTTGGAATTTGAAACTATTCATTCCAAAATCTAATTTATATATCAGCAATATATCACCTTTAGAGGGAAGCAACCACCAAATTTTTTTTGTTAATTTGTCAGTTTAAAGTTACCTGTTAAACTTTGTTACTATACACAGTGCTTCATTTTAGTAAATTTTCATGAACCTCAAATGATTTTTAAAATGTATTTATTAATTTAGTAGTACAACCCACAATCTGATAAATAATTTTTATTGTTATTGAATTTTAACAATGAATTTGTTTTATTTAAACTGCTTCCCTTTACATAATTAAATGTAAATGTATTCTTGAGCAGTTATTTCCTTGTTGCCAATGGCTGAGGTATAGAATCAGTTCATTTTAAAGGTTGCTTATTCTCATGCTAGTCCTTAATTTAGATGTAGATTTTTCATTGCCTTATAAGTGGCTGTGATTAACAAACTGATCTGTTCTTTTCCTCAGCTTTTTGGTAATATTTTTGCTGTAATATACATATACATATATATATAAAGTACTTATGTATGTATGTATTTATGTATATATATAAATATATATATATCTGATATAGTCACAAAGGAAAAAAATTGGTTTAAGCCCATGAATATTTTTTTTGGGAACTAGAAAACCAAAGGCAGCTGTGTATACATGTGATAATGTGTTGTGTACTCAATTGTCAAGTTGGAATGTATGTATATATTGTGGTAATTTTCTAGTAAAAACAATTGGCTTCTAGATGTTGACAGTATGACATTGTGACAATGATAGTGAATGCAGTACGGGTCCTCCGGTGCCTTTAAGGCATATTTGCCATTCCGGCTAATATACACACAGGCTAATCAGACAAATGACTAAATATGCAAATAACTTAAAGCCATATTTGTACTACAGATAACAATATATATCACCTAAAAAGTGGATAGTTCTGTAGATAAAAAATAACTTTAATGTTATAAATAAAGTTGAAGGCAAAACTGAAATATAATATATTTTTATCTCCTATTAAATGTGCAATGTGTAATATAATTTAAAATTCCTCTTATGATTCAAAATAATCCCTGTTATTTCTGTTGTAACAAATGGTGATATATTTTTAGATAGAGATTTCATACTGCCAGAGAATTTATCCCAAATATGCAATATAAAAATACTAAACTAGAACAATAATAATGATTTTTTGAGTGTTGAAAAGTTCCTTATTAAAATTCCTGGTAGAAAGAAAAGAATACTTTGTGTGTTGAAATGTGAATATTAAATCATTGTGATATCCAAATACTGTAGTATAAGTAAGGCTTTATGTTTAATATTTGCATATTACAATTTATTTTTACTTGTTGGTTGCTATTCTTTTATATAAAGAACATTTTAAAAGTTTTGTGTTTGAAATAACAAACTACAATAATATTAAAAGCTTGTTAATTAGCATTTTTCAGTTATGCTGGCACTTTTTTTTCAGCCAAGAGAAATTTTATTTGAAATCCACTGTAAAACGAAGTGACTATAATAGAAATATGAAATATTCAAAACCAGTACAAAGTTAGTAATCATAAACTTGTTGTATTGTCAGAAGACACCACTTATGTATATTTTGCAAGCAATGTTCACCCAATTCCTGTTACACAATCAAGTGAACAAATGAATCTGTATGAATTGTCTGTGAAATTTTAATTCAATCCATTATATATGTACTTGGAATAATTCATATTAGAAAGCTGTTCCAGCTCCTAGGAGTTTTACTTTTAAGATCCAAGTAAAAATTAAACAATTGAAGAAAGTGTTATACGTGAACTGTGCTTGCTATTATACAATATTTACTATTGTAATTTAAGGTTATGGTACAGTGCCACATAATGGCTAGTACCTGATTAGACTGCCGAATGATTAGTCTTGCTCACATTTATTGCTATATGGTGTCAATCTGATGAAGTTTCCTAGTGCTAAAACTAGGATTCATCACAGTCATCTCTTCACTAAGACTCAATATATCTGTAGTTGCTGTGTGTGTATTACCATAAATTGCCGTTGTGAAGTATCACTTTTCTTCACACAGAACATCCCTGTACCTCACAGTTGTCAAACGATGTGGTGTACTGTACAGGCTATGTTCTGCACCACTGATTTGTATGACTGAATTGTGGAAAACCCTGTGTAATATAAGTTTTATATTTACTTCAAACTGTATCATTGTAAATAGCACTTTAGCTCGCATGAATTAAAGCAATTTGACCACGACAATTTTATTTTCTTTTAAATATCAAATGATCTTTTCAAATAGTTTGCTTAATAATTAAGTGTTGTCTTTTTGAAAATAATTTACAAATTCAAACCGGTAAAGAAACCACTGGATTACAAATATTGTTGAATCATCACAGTGGTGGAGAATGGTCCTAAGCATCAAGTAATACATTTTGATTTATGCTTATTGGAACAATGTATATTTTCCACCTTTTCTGTGGTGAAAGGTCCTGTGTGTCGTTTTCATTACATCTGAAATTTTAAACATTATGATTTGGTGCTATGCAAGTCATGTGAAATTTCTTTGGTAGTGAAAGTTCTAAATAACAATATAAAAATCTCACTTAGGACACTATGCAACAAAATATTAAACTTTTTAAAAATAAATTGATAGGAAGTAACAAAATTAAAGTTTTATTATCAAAATTTAACTTGATTTCAAGGAAGATATTATAAATAATTTAATTTTATAGTCTTAAAATTATGGCAAAATGAAAATGATTAATCTTTAATATAATAAAATCATCCAAATTTTTTTTATTTGTTTTAGCACTGCCCAATTGGCATTAAAAAGATCTTTTTATCAATCCCAATTGGAGTTTCACTGGACCCACAATAGAGTGGCAGAAAATGGGCTTGGCATATCCAGGTTAAACCACCTTAGGAAAAAATTCCTGGGTTTTTGACTTCCAGGTTCGTTTCTGATTCCCCAGAGCAATGGTGTCATTTAACCACTCAGCCATCCATCCAAATCACTTACAAGGAAAAAATAAGCATAACATATAAATTGACATTCCATAGAATGTCTTGTACAGTATATCAGGCAATTTTTAATTTTGAGATGAAAAAATTAGGAATTTTTAAATGGATCAGTCATGGTTATAGACTTGTAAGTGAAAATTACAAATTTTAAGAACTTTACCAGCAGCAATGACTAAATTGAGGATGAGATGAATAAGGCCTTTTCCATTCTATGCATCTCTATTTTTGAGGATTTTTTATGTATAATTCAGCCGTCTTTTCACTCGACTATTTGGCTAAACTTCATTTATGTATTACGATTACTTTCCTAATTCCTTACCTTAGAAATGGATCATAATACTTTGTAGACAGAGAAGGATGTAAGTATCAATAAAAAGTAGTTTAGGTCAAACTTTATATACGTGCACCGTCATGGCCACACAGTGGGTGACCACGTTCTAACCTAACCTATTCTAATTATCAAATTATTGGTAATTTATTAGAATAGGTTAGGTTAGAACGTGGTCCCCCACTGTGCGGCCATGACGGTGCACGTAGGTAAAGTTTGACAGTAGTTTATTATTGTTAAGTTTCAGTAATACTAAACTTTATAAATACTTTTGTTTGGATAGACGAGACAGTTACGTCGTCCTCCTGCCTTAACTTTAATTGTAAATATGCATGCATATTTACAAATCTCACTCGACAGTGCAATGGGAGCGACCTTGCAATCTACGACGTCATGCATCGTTATACAGTGAAATACCGATTATCCGGAGCAGGGAGGAACGGTAGGCATCCTTTGCGTGTAAATTTCAGCCCCTAGCAAACTATTCGCGCCATATTGTGGCATCCAAAATAATTGTGGTAGCTTGATTGGATTGGGCTGAATTTGTGCGAATAACTAGACATTTTTTTACTTAAAATTATAATACTCCGCAGTCCGCTGATTGACTGATCGCTTTAATTCAGGGCAATACGTTGCGATGTTAGAATTTGTGATTTAAAAAGTCAAAGTTTTGTGTAGGTGGTATCTGCTTTACTGCGGTTGAATTTTACTGTACTGTACATATTGTTTTCATTTCTACTTTACTGGTTCGGGATGCTACCGCCCCTACTGTGACAACGTCTATACCAGGAGCGTCCAACCTTTTGGCTCCCTTGGGCCACATTTGAAAAAAAAAATCTCGGGCTGCACATGACCTATAAAGGTAAAGGTGACACGAGTAGATCTGCCGTTCTAAGTTGAAACAAACGGTGAAATTATGTAGCCAAATCGTGCCCGAAACGTTCCAATACGCAATGACTTTTTGTGCACAAAACAAAAAGGGTAGCCCATCTTACGCAAAGCAGCAAATCTTTTCATTTCAGATGCAGTACATAATGTTCGTATAATATGCATACAGCTATCTCAGCGATTCTCAACCTTCTTAGCTCCGTGACCCCCACCCAAAGGAATAATAACAGTAACCCTTACTATTACTAATTGAATTTTGACTGCAATTATAAATGCAAATTTTTTTATTTATTAAATTATTTTTTTTATAAATGTAAATCGTCTTTTATCACTCGAAAACAATTTGCTTTTGTGTGTTTCTAACGTAGAGCCACGTATGGAGAAAATTTTAAATGAAAAACAAATGCAACCATCACATTAATTTCTTTTCTTTACATGTGTACTTATTGTAAGTAAAATGTTTATAAGTTTATAATAAATGATTTTTTCTCATAAAATGATTTCATTACTGTTTCGCGACTCAGGTTGAGAAACGCTGAGCTATCTTAACTTTGTGAACCTCGTTGCACCAGCGCACAGCGGCTAACTTGAGGAAATATCTTAACTCTTCTAACAAAGCAGCTTTACTGGTCATCACGTCCTTCATATTTTACTTTTTTCAGATCATTAATTAATAATTCATTTGTTACTAAGTAGAGAAAACATTATTTAACACGAATAGGCGTAGTATTTTTATGTACAAATTGCTTTTTGTAATTTAATTTTGGAGGATTTTTCCACCAATGTTAAAAACTTTTTATCAAAAGGCTCGTGGATCTCATTTTAATGTAATTTTACTTTTTACGCGATTTTTTCACTACTAAATTCCAAGTTCCAAATTAAAATTATATTTTGTTTATTATTTTTGAATATTTTTTCATTATGAATCGTGTGAATTTTTACTATTTTCGTCACCCGTCATCACTGTTAAAACATTATTATTAATTCAATTATAAATTCATCTAAAAGTGCTCAACTTCAATAAATATCGAATCTTTAAACAGTTAATACGAAATTTGATAAGTTATTAAATATAAAAAAATTTATGTTTAGTCGAGAAAATTCTATGTACAAATTTAATTGTCGAAGTAATTTTGATTCTGGTTTGGAGTACCAAACTGAGTACAATGTATTTTTTGGTTTATTTAAATTCAATGTTGAAATAGTCTTCCTCTGGTATGCATTCTAGTAGCTAATATTCATGATTTCATGGTGAAAGTTTTTAGCGTGGAAAAAACCCGGAAAACTCCATGTGGCCAGCCCTTCCTAGAGAGACGCGAACCCACGACCAAACTCCCAGTGTTCAGGGTACGAAGACCACTTGGGCCCTGGTTGGCTATTTATTAATACTGTTACCAATAACAATAAACAATAAACGTGTTACCAGAACGGGTAACAATAAACGTGTTACCAGAAAATGCAAGTGAAAGAGATACAATCGAATTTGATAAAATGTCTGTCCAAAACAATGAACATCAGAATTATCCTATCTGAAGATTATAGTTATAGGTTCAAGGAGTTAGATGGCCAAGCATAGTTGCCTAGGAGCCAAGTATGCTTGGCCTCTAGGACTCTATAAAACTTCAGAATAGCAATTATTACACTAAGGGTGCGACTATGCAGACGCGAATTTAGTAGCGAGCGATATAGTTCTCGCAAAGGAAAACATGCACAAGCGAGATGCAAGAAATCTCGCTGGTGTGAGCGAATTTCTGGTTCTTGCACGTATCTGACGGGTTTTGATATTTATCGCGTCGCGCCTCTTCTCGCCACATATTCTTGCGCGCTCGGGTCTGCATAGTCGCACCCTAACGCCAACCACTGCCGTTAGTATTACAATGTATCGGGTAGTAGAGTTGTTAGTTTATAACAGGGGTCACCAAACTTTTTTACAGCGGGCCAGATAACTAAGAGAATGACGAGCGCGGCCGTATAACCGTTTTGTTCAATACAGCACACTGAATGCACAATAAAGACAACCAACATATTTATTTACCAATACATAAATACGATCGCTGCAGCAAGCTTGTAATCGCTTTTCTTAGAAACTTCATTGCAAGTACAGTACTTATACGAAAAGCGCTCTGATATCCAAAGTAGCCGAATTTTTTATTTAACTGATTTATCTAAAAATTTTACTGTCAGATTAAAAAATCAGATTGGACCAATTTGGGCATTTTTACTTACACTCATTTTAATTTTTTTACATAGTAAGTTTATCTACAATCTATGATATTTCCATATAGATAGATGTAATTATATTTTAGCTCAGTGCGGCAACGGACCGGATAAACTGATCTCGCGGGCCGTAGTTCGGCGACCCCTGGTTTATAGCAATTATTATGATGGAAAGAAAATAGATACAATCTTCTGTAAAAAAATTGTGCAAAATAAGTGTGAGCTATAGCATATTACAAACGGGATTATCCTTCAAAAAAATCTCGTCTTTCAACACCCGGTCGCTCCATTGTAGGCGTGGCCGAACCCACGAGAATGATTAAAAAGATGTACAGTACAGTACTTAATACGTTCTGTATTCATATCTATCATAGGTTCGGCCATAGGGTGGAAAAAGAAAAACAATGCAATGAAACTTAATGTTTTCAATGCGATTCATATATAAAGAGACAAAACATGAAACGGAAATCAGTAAACTACTCGAAGAAAACAAAGATTAACTTAAAAAATCAAAATAAAAGTTGCATTGGTAACATTTTTCTCTCTTCGACACCAGTGTTTTGGCGTTTGCGAACGTGCAATATTTAAATACATACATCGTTTATATATAGTATATATTTTTTTCTATTTAATTGGGACAAAGCGGCAGACATTTTAAACGATTTTTAAATACTAGTCTGCTGTCAATGCTAATCGAAATAGCTTATACAGTGAAATACCGATTATCCGGAGCAGGGANTCCCTTTACATAATTAAATGTAAATGTATTCTTGAGCAGTTATTTCCTTGTTGCCAATGGCTGAGGTATAGAATCAGTTCATTTTAAAGGTTGCTTATTCTCATGCTAGTCCTTAATTTAGATGTAGATTTTTCATTGCCTTATAAGTGGCTGTGATTAACAAACTGATCTGTTCTTTTCCTCAGCTTTTTGGTAATATTTTTGCTGTAATATACATATACATATATATATAAAGTACTTATGTATGTATGTATTTATGTATATATATAAATATATATATGTATATATATAAATATATATATATCATAACTTGGAAATGAGTTTCATAAGTTTTACTTAAAAGATATAAAAAATAATAATAAAAAATAAATAAAAAAAATAGAGGGAGCGATCAAGATGGAAGTCGTATGTGAATCGAAGCCAAGCTTTCTTGACGGATCGAAATTAGGTTGAGTATATTACAGCTATCTTTTCGGTCGATGATTTCTGTATATTACTACGTTCGATGTTAGGATAATTTTTCGTTTGTTGACTGTTAGAAAGCGATTATGCCGATAAATAAGAAGGTAAGGATTATATTTTTATATTCTAAAACGTAAATGATCGTTTTTTTGAAAATGTTCTTTAATTAAAACAAATTTTTCTACTGTTTATTATACTTTATGTAATGTAATTCAATACGATAGTTGATAATGGTATTTAAAGCCGGAAATTTTAAAATTTGTTTATGTTAATCGAACACCGACTTGCATTCTTAAGGAATTTGTATTTTGGCAAAATGTATTTATTTTATGTTCGTTGTTTTTACTTGAATATCATTAAATTAGAGAGATGTTTTAATAAGTGATGTAAAACTAAGTAATTTATTGGTTATTACAATTAACATAATGTATGTATTTGTTTAATTGAATATATATTGATGTATGAAAAAAATTTCATTCATATTTGCTCTATTGAATTATATAACTTTAATGTGTTTGATTGTACAATGCAACCGAGTTTGATTTCTAAAAAAGTTTAGAATAAATTTATAGTTTATCTTTAGAATAAATTTATAAACAGTTGCTTATGAGATTGAAATATTTTCACTGTTTCTAGTTGTATATAAAACAAAAATTAATGTATTTTGATTATGCTCATAATTGAGATAATTTTTATTTTTTTAAACTATTTTTATAGTTGTAATTAAAATTAGAAAAAAATCATCTGCAGCGAGAGTGTGATAAAAGGTAACAAAATATTTAAAAATAAACAAGAATTGCTGTAGTATTTCATTTATTTGAATTGCATATGTTTTGAGCTAGGAAACAATTATTACATCATTACTATTTATTTAAATCTATTTTATTGAATTTAAAATAAATAAATGTTATAGAAACGTTTTTTCATTCGTTTGTGAAAAATTTATAAGTAAGTAAATGAATTTAACTTTTTTAGTTAGGAAAACTAATGACTTCTAAGTCTCCTAAAAAAAAATCACTCAAGTACATAACAGTATCAAATAATCACTCACACAAATACAATATGATTATTATTCTACATAATGCAATATGTGTTTATGTTGGTTGTAAGCATTAAAAAGAAAAGATATATTACTGTTTTAATAGATGAGCAAATTATATAAATAATTTTAATAGTTTTAGGTTAAACAGTTTTCTCCTTGGGATTTACAGTCTTAAATGACATACATGTTTAGAGAAGTTTAAATTGAATTCAGATTGTTTTTGAGAAGCTTACTCTACTTTTTCCAAAATATAGCATACAAAATTACTGACACATTTTTTTGAAACTATTTTGTTCCTATCTTGATAACTGCTATGTATTTAAAGCTGTAAGATTTTTTATCAGTTTAATTTTTCATTATATTTCAATATTACTTTACTCCTGTCACTATTATGTTTGATTTTATTATGTAATACATAATAAAAATTGTATTAAATATGTATAGATATAACTTTGGTAGATGTATAATAAAGAAAATATATTTGTTGCTCTATATATGACGTGATAAAATAAATAGAAAAAACATTTTAAACTTAAAAGTACAATTTTTCTAGGTAGAATTTTTTAATATTTTTATTTTGTATATTTCAGAGAACATAATGAACAAAACTGATTTTATGAATTCACTGAAAATAGATGTTTCTATCACAATTGATCTGTTTGCTTACAAAATAAGTGAATGTTATTCTATTGGAATGATCTTATGAATATATTATTAATAATAAAATTTAATAATTTTAAAATAAATTTTACAAAGAAAACAAATAAAAAGATTTTGATTTTGTAAAATAAAACAGAGGATTGTAAAATTGCAGAAGACAAAGTAACTATACAATAAAAATCAAATTAGGGTTATGCCTAGAATGTTTAGTATCCTCGCGTTTCTTTATGCAGCGCTCGAGAAGCGCTTTACAGCGAACACACTGAAACTGGTTTCTAATTGGCCAACACTGCTCGTGACGTCATTTCGCTACATTCTCGCTGCATAAAGAAACGCGGGGTATCTAGATGCAGGCAATTTCTGTGATACTCTGTCTGTCAACTAGACATGTTTTTGTGTGCCACCTAGTGTTTGTTTAATGAAAACAGTTTCTCTTAATGCATTTTTGTGTCCTCTTCTCTTTTAGTTACATTATTTTTAACAGAAATAGTTTATCAAAACGTTTAGCATCTCACTTAAAGAAACTAATAGATTTTTGATAATGTTGTTTGCTAAAGAATTTGTTTATCCATTCTTTGAGAAACAATACAAACCAGAAGTGACGACCTAAAATATAGACAAACAACCAACATTTGCTTAGGTACACAAAAATATACCTTAAATTTTGTAAAGTAATAAAACATTCTGAAAGCTATTTGATCTTTTTATTAAAGTGAAAAAGGAAACTGAATGCATGATTCAAATTGTGACAATGTATAGCATGGAAAGTTAGCATTTAGATCTATTGTATCCAAGGAACTCTAGGTAAGAAAGAATACCCTGCAACAAATCAGTATGTAACATGAGATCTTGTATGTGATTGTACTTTCTTCTGATCTATATTGATCAAAAAACATTGCATTTTGTAATAAAGTTATACATATTTTTTTTTTTGATTTTGTAAAATCAATCAATAGAAGTATGCTCTTTTACTTTATAGCACCTTTCTAATATATCACTTTCAAACTGTATTCACATTTTATTATTTTTGGTGCTTGCTATGCACTTAGGAGGGGTTTTTAGGATTTCTTTTATTTATTAATTTTTACTTTTTCATTGTTTTTTAGGCCTAGTGCTGTTGTACATTTAATAACGATAGTTTCAATATATTATTAAGCTTTTATTTGCACTAGCAAGTGAGAAAACTTTTGCTATATGGTAATATTCACTTTATGGAGGTAGTTGGACTTGCCAGTTATATTAGAGACATATGCTTATATATGAAGAACAGCCATAAGCTTGAGTAATGTAGCCAAAAATATGATCAGATTTTAAATAAGGCTATTTTAGATAGTTTGAAATTACATAATTGGGCTGCTATTTGAAAAAAAATTGTAGATCTATAAATTCCCACTGTTATCACTTCATCTTTTCTTAATCTCAAGAATGGAGTTAGAGAAATGAAATCAGAGACCAGATATGGAAATCTTAGGGATTAACTATATATGAACATCTGATGCAAACCAGTAGTCATGTTATTTCAATTCAAAACTTTTCCCCTGAAAGCAGTTAATAGATGATTGGCACAACTGTATTGTTAAAAGAAAAGTGTGATGTACAGGGGCAAGAGACTACTAATAATTTGAGGTGGAGAGCATATATTTTAAATTAAATAGATTAAAAATAGGATAAAAAATTGCAGACCAGCATTGTGATGATATCACAATGAATAATTGCTTGTTACATTTTATAAATAAATTTGATTTAAAGATAAGTGGTGTCTCTATCTTATCTAATTTCAAATTAGTTTAAAAATAATCTGGTTAAGAAGATCTGATGTAATAGTTGTTCTTTGATTTTAAATATATATTTAAAAAGTTTAAAAATTTTAAAGGCAATGTGAGTTCACTGATCAAATATAATTCATAATTTAACGTTATATTAAATTTTAATGTTCTAAATTATAACTACAGTGGAACCTCACATAATGAGCAAAATAAATTGTAAAAAAGTGACTCGCTTAATGAGTGATGTTTTGCATAACAAGTGATGAGGAGAGGGGAAAGTCCTGGATTGTGTGCATGCTCCATCAGTCTGTTTGCCAATCATTCCGCTAGCATCTTAGTGTCATTTATGTTCACACATATTATTTATAAACATCAACAACCATAGTCCATTATATAATAAACACACCACATGATGTGCCAAATTCTTTGGCTATGTAGTCTCTATAATTAAATATTAGATACTACTGTATTTCAATTATTTTTTGTTTTTTGCAAATTGAATTTGCATTCCAGGTTTGTTCATTTCATGCTAGAAGAAAAGATGAAGATGGTTCACTCTCCTTAACAATGTATATTGTATAATTTTCTTTGAATAAACATTATACATAAAATATTTGAGTAGCCTATTTTTTTTCGGAATGGAATGCATTATCATATTTTACATTTACATGGGAAAAATTGTTTTGCTTAACAAGTGCTTTGCATTACAAGTAAGATTCAGAAACGAATTATGCTCATTAAGCATGGTTTCACTGTACATGTTTCATTAAAATGACAATTACCAAATTGTCATTTTATGATTAGGCTAGGTAATTATGACCATTCTTGGGATTTGAATAATATAATAATTTATAAATGAACAAAGATGATTGGTATATCATTTAAATAAAGTTTAAAAATCATATGCTTAGTAGTAAAGGAGTAGAAATAATTTCATCAAATATAAAAAATTATTTTATACTATGTGTAATATATGCAAAAATGTAAAATGAGGAACAAAGTTTGACTGTTTTTCTAAATTCTAATGTTTTAATGGACTTTTGGGGCAACTGAAAGTTGGTCTTTCATAGATGACAGACCTCAGATATAAAGTATTTTGAAAAGTGCCAAAAAAATGCTTCTTATCACGGTATATTAATTTTTCCTCTATCAGAATTGCTAAAGAATATAGCCTACTAAGAAAAATAATATAAAGTTTGAAGAAAACTATTTATTACATAACAAACCTTTGATTATTTGAAATAATGTAACTATCGTTTTTGTTTATTACAAAAAATGCATTTTGAATTAAACAATTCCAGTTCCAACACTTTTGTTCTTTGTTGCTGTCAGAAGTTGTTAACAAATCGTAATATAGTACAGAGTGCATTTTTAGCATCATCATGTAGCAAAAGTTTTTTCTTTTTTGTTTTGTCTTCAGAATTGCTGACATAAAAATGTACTGACACAATGCAGTACATATTAGATATTTACTATTTTAATGATATTGTCTGTCAGATGTCTCAGATGTTTACAGCATTATCAATTTTAACATAGTCATTGAAGTTGGCATCTTTTTATACAAAAACTGAAAGAGGCAGGTTGTTTTCACCTGATGCAGTGTTACTGTTTTTTAGTGGAGCTGATGCTGAAAATC